GTTTTCTTCGATAAATCGGTTTTTGTATGAAACCGGATTATTACAATCCGGTTTACCAAAGAAAATGATCTACAACCAGATTGCAAAAAGTCAACCAGTTTGAAACCGGTTTCTGATCACGTAACCGGCTTGGAGCACTATGTATAAAATATGAATATTATATCTTTAACTGTTTAATATTCTAGTTATTTATATATTAATAGTTATTTTAAATTTAATATAATAATAGGTTTTAGTTTTTTTTTATTAGATTATAATTTTGATTTAATTTTTTTCTTATTAAATGTATTATTAATTTAATCTTATATTTATTTTTCTTTAGTATTTTTAAATAAAAAATATTTTTCTATTAGTAAACTTAAAAATTTTTATATGAAAACATTATTTAAATAAAAATTTATTATTTATTCTACATAAGAATTTTTATATGCAAATCTTATTTTAATTTATATTTAATAAAAAAAAATAAGCTTAATAGATAAGTTTTTTAAACAAGAGTAAAAATTTACAAAAATATAAATATATTTTTTTAATTAAATATAATAAATATAGGTAATATATTTAGTAATGTATAGCATATATGCAAATATGTGTAAAATAAGTGAAAATATATAGAAATATGTAAAATATGTAGAAAACATATAAATTTTTGTATGTATTTCATATATATAAAATTTTTTGATCAAATCTTAAAAAAATTTTAAACATTAAGTTTATGTAAATCATTTTTGAAGTTTTAAATAAGTTTAAAAATAATTAGAATACAAATAAAAAAGATTAAAATAAAATCTTTTAATTAAATTTTATTTTATTTCTTTAAAAGAAAAAAAAATAAAGTATAAATTATAAAAAAAAAAATATGTTTAGTTTTTATTAATTAAATAGTTAAATTTCTGTTTTTTTATCTTTTAAATAATTAAAAATATAAATTAACTGGTAATTATTTTAATAAAGAAAATTTATTTATTTTAAAATCTTTATTATAAGTATTTTTTTGATAGAATATTTAATAAGATAAATATAACAAAAATTTTTAAATTTAATAATTTGGTTCTTTTATTTATTATATATATATATTTTTAAATATGCTTTCTTGTTATAAGTAAATTAATTTATACACTTTCTGGCCAAAAGTTTAAGACTACCCAGAATCTGCAAAATAATCTGTGTTAATATACATTTATGAATATTTTTTGTAATCAAAAAAGCTAGAATTTGTATTATATGATAATCAATAAATAAATTATCAGATTTATCTTTTTTTATTCTTTCGTTCTGTATTTTAAGAAAATGGTTAAAAAAAAGAGCTATCAGATTTTGAACGTAAGAGAATCATCAGTTTTTATGAAGCCGGTAGTTCAGAAAGAACCATATCACAATAAACAGGTTATAACAAGATCATCATCCATAATATTATAGTAAAATACCATAAAATAGACACCAAAACTACTGCTTTTCGAATTGGATGTCCAAAAATATTGACCAAATGTGATAAATATCATTTTAAAGCAGTTGTCATTAAAAACTGACGTGAACCAACAAAAAAAATACATGAAGTTTTTAATGAAACCACTGAAAATAAAGTAAGTGAGAGGACTGTAAGGTATATATTATATGAGTTAGAATATCATAGTCATATAGCTCTTAGGAAACCATTGGTTAGTGAACTTAATTGAAAAATTCAGTTAAATTAGGCTTGTGAAAGATGTCAATGGACAATAAATGAATGGAAAAAGATTATTTAAAGTGATGAATCTAGATTTACTTATTTCAAAATGATGAAAAAATTCATGTTTGGCATCTCTCAAAAGAAAAATATGATGTTAGCTATCTTTCTTCAACTGTAAAATATGATAGTGTTAGAATCATAATGTGAGAATGTTTTTTCTGATATAGTTTAGGACCTTTGGTGAGAATTGATGGTCAAATAAATAGTGAAAGATATATGGGCTCTTTGTAATAGAAAAGGAGTAAACTACTAAAAAAATTTTTTTTGAATTAATATTAAATCTGAATTTATTTTGTTAAAAAACTAATATTTAGTTTATAAAGTAAAAAAAATTTTTTTTTGTAGTTTCCTTCCTTTCTATTGCAAAGAGTCCATATAGAAGAGATTATTGGCTATCACTTGATACTATTTTTGAAGGAATTTGAAAAAGAAAATGGTGAATATTTTTTTCAACAAGACAACACGCCAATTTATACTAGTATAATAATCCAAACCTTCATGAAAGAAGTGGAAATAACTCCATTGCTATGACTGAGACAAAGTCTAGATCTTAACCCTATTGAACATCTATGAGATAAGCTCAAATATTATATCTGAACAAAAAAAATCATTCAAGAAATCTGAGGGAATTAGAAGTATTTATTCAAGAATGCTGGTTATAAATTTAACGTAAAGTTTATCAAAAACTTATTAATAGTATAGAGTCTCAAATTAAAGAAGCAATAAAAGCTATAGTTATTTTACTAAGTATTGAAGATTATTTTTATTAACTTTTTAATAGTAAAAATAATGAATTATTTTGTTAAATTTTTTTTTTTTAACAAAAAATAGTGGTTTTTTTGTTAAAATCTTTAATGATTTTATAATTCTTTGATTTTATAAGATTTTGAGCTAGTTTTTTTTTTTGTCATGTTATGCATAATAAAGACTTTTAATAAATAAAGTTTTTTGTGATATAATTATAATTTATTAAAAAAATGATCAAAAAAAACGTCATATATTAAATGTTTAATAATTTATTAAATATACTTAATTAATATTGAAAATTTACTATTTATTTATTAAAGTTATTATATATATATATATTTTAGTCTAATAAAAAATCAGTTAATAAAAAATCGTAATTCTTTTTAATTTACTGGGTGGTCCTAAACTTTTGGCCAGGGAGTGTATATGTATGTATTATAATGAGTGATTGAATCATGTTAGTTAAATATCATTTTTATTTTTGCATTTTTGATATAGTATTCCAATAATTATTTTGTTTTAAATAAATCACTATTATATTGAAGTTATAAATATTTTGAGAAAAGTTTATTGTGGAAATAATTTTATCTTTTATATCAATTTTATACTACTTTTTATGAAGAACCATTTATGTAATTTTTTATATTACATTGAAAAAAGCAATAAATTATAAAATACATTATTTTGTAAAAATGTCATAATCCTGGTAATAGTTATATTTACCCGGAAGAAGATGTTTTTATAAGAAGAGAAAAAAAATTAAAAATATAAATAAAAATACAATTAATGAAGAACTAAATATCATAAAAATCATATCATATCATCATTAAATAATTCATAAATGATTGAAAATAAAAACGTTATTCAATCAAAGATAGGGTTCATAGGAGGAGGCATATTAAACTTTGGGGGAGAAGGTTTGGGCTCATAAACTTTAAGTTTTGGCGATTTTTGAGTTTGACCAAGTTTTCTTTTTCTAGTGTGCAAAAAATTCTTGATCGTGTTCTCAGAATATAATTTGTTAAATTTCTGTTGCATCAAACCAACTATTTTCGTAATAGGAAAATTTTTCATCTGTTTGCTTTGATCGGCGCATTGAACAATAAAATTTTTTTCGTCTTCATTTAAGGGATCCTTACAAACTAATAAAAATAATAAAGAAAATTAAATCTAAGGAAAAATTAGAATTAAGACAAAAGAACATTTTATTCATTTAATCTAATAAATTTTCTTACGAGCTGGGTTTAGATTATTTGACCAACTAAATTAAAAATAATAAAAATAAACAACCATTTTAATATATTTTTTAAAAAGAGTAAAATTAATTTGAATAAAATGATGTCTTACTGTTGTCTAATTTGTTTTGAACTTTTTTCAATAGAAGAAATCTTAGCAAGTTCTTTACTAAGTTTCGTATAACTATTTTTTGGATGATTTGGATTACGTTGCATCCATTCTAAAATTAATTCATTTTCCTACCAAAAATATATATATTTATTTAAATTAAGAATAAAATTAAGAAAATTTTTAGTGACTTCACAGTTTATTAATTATTAACATACAGCTTGATTAAAGATTGATGTTCTTCCCATTTTATTTCTCAAAAGGACGAGTATGAGTAAATCAAGTAAATATTGAATGAAGCAGTAACGAACGATGTAATGAAAGATGTAGTCGACGAAGGAAGTAATAGAGGCCGAAGTATAAACGAGGTAAGTAATCAAAAAAAAAGCATACGACAAAGGTGATGAATAGACGAACGAACGAGATAAGTAGACGAATAAAGGTAAGTATGAACAAATGGACGAAATAAGAAATAGATCAATATTTGAATAATAAAAATTGGTAAATGAACGGAAGAAAAAAGTTGATCAAAGTATTTTTCTTGTACCAATTTATTTTCATGAAAGGAAGGAGCTACGTGATTTTATATAAAAAATTTTATATAAGGTTGAACATTCGAAAGATATTAGGATATTGATTATATAGTTGTTGTAGTACCAATTAAGATTCCATTGTATAAAAGTCATTGGGACATTCTCGTATTTTAAGCATAATTGGAGACATCCTAAACAAGGCCAATATGGAAATATTTCCATAATGAGAACATATGACTAATTTTTTCGCGGGAACAAATAAAAAAAGAGACGGGTTAATAAATCACAATTAATCACAATGTACGGTACACAACGCATGTACCATCTATTTGTTTTCAAAAAACAATGATTTAAATGATCTAATTACTTTACATCTCGATTTGGTTGATTTTATTAAAGAAATACCGATACTTATTTATTTATTTAGTATAAAAAAGGACATAATTTAAATGAAAGATTTGTTACAGTAGTACAATAGATGAATCAGACGTGATGCACACGGGGCGAAGATCACCTCCAAAAAAGGGTTCAAATGGCCAAAAATTTTGTTTGATTGCCGCGACTTGATAATGTATACAAAATTCCTACCATGATATCATGGTTGTATGAATATCACGGGTGAAGGTACTTAATATTGGTGAATTTTTTAACCTGGCACACATTAACATTGGTTAATTTATTTTAAAGATTATGATTTGTTATAGAAAAAAAAAATACTGAACCTTTCTTCTAAATATGAGATAACTTACATCATTACACGAATTTATTAAAATTAGGCTTAAGCAGAAAATTCAAGATAACTGCGCCAGATAAAATTAACAAGAAATATCTTAAAAAAAAAAAAATTTCAAAGAAATAACTTTTTAATAATTGAGATTCTTTAGTATTTGTTAAAGAAAGGGTGTTGAAGGATAAAAGATTAATTGTTGATTTCTCGCTTAATTTTTTTTGAATAAAATCCTTCGGTTCGGTTTACACCATTTATATAAACTTTCATATTATTATGTTTAAGGGTATCATAAATTCATACAATTCCCTTCTCAGATGGTTTGTAATATATGAACTATGCCAAAATCTTTCAAATGCTTTATGCTTTGTCCCTTTCATTTGTGCTAATTTTGACCCTTAGACATTCTAAGATTCAAAATAAAGGAACGTTACAATCAAAAACACCAATCTAAAGGTATAATATAAGTAGTACCAACAGACCATTCAAAGGGCTTCCATTTTTGAATTATCCTACGTACATCATTTAATTATTTTTAATTACGCTAAGACAAATTGTGCGTGCACAGCTTGTGCTACATTGTTTGACATAATTTACATAATTTGAAAGCTTGGTGTTTGTTTGTTTTGTTCTATTGCTTATTACCTAAAATGTTTCATCTTTCACAATGTCCATTTTAGTCTCATTATTATTTCTAGAAGATTTCACTTTAAACTTTGTCCTCTTTTCATTGTTTCAAATTTCGCCACAAAAATTGTGAAAGAAATTTTCCTTTTTTTTTTTTTTTTTTTTTTAAAAAAAAAAAAAATCGAACATCACATATATATTATATTAAAAGTTCGAACATTAGAAATTTTGTTCTTTTTTTATTTTATAAGAATATATATCATAAAAACGAGAGAAAATCCAATTTTTTTAAAAAAATGTAAAAGATACAACAACTATCAGCTTTTTTTTTTTTTTTTTTTTTTTTTTTTTTAACTATTATATTATATAATATATTACGGGACATGAAATAAAAATATGTATGTATATATATGTATATATAAAGAAATAAATAAATAAGTATAAATAAAATGTTTTGGGTTATTAAAAGATGGGGTTCATAATAAATTTTGGAGGTTCTGGAGGATTAGGTTGAAAATTTGACTCGATTGGAATCGGTTGGTAATAATAATGAGAGATAGTAGATGTTAAAACTTTTGTAGGATCGGTTTGGGTAAAATTTCTAATGTCGTTATGAAAAGTGGAAATCGCAACTTGAGTCGTAGGGTCCGTTCCGTTTTCAACGTCTTCATCAGGTCTACGTTTTTGTTCCGCATACCAGGCATTTTTGATTTTATTCCTAGAATGTAACCTTTGAAAATCCCTTTTCATGTCTTCTTGACAATTCGCCCAATAAATTTTGCCGGATTCTGATTTATTCTCTTCAACCCATTTATTAATATACACTTTTTCTTCGTCAGACAAAGGTTCATGGTAAACTAATCAAGGAGAAATCAATCAATATATTAAGTTCAAGTTTAAGGAAAGAATAAATGGAAAATTTAATTGCACTCACGAGAAGGGTTGAGTTTATCGTTCCATCTAATAAATTTTACGATAAAAAATAAATTATAAATGTTTACGACTTGAGAGGAATTATTATAGAATTAAACGTTACTTTGAAACTCACAAATGATAAATTTGTTTGGACCTATATCCAGTCTTTTTACTTAATTCTGAATACGGTGTTTTATGATTACGCCCCTCTTTTGATGTCATAAATCGTAAAATAGTATTACGGACCTAAAAATTTAAATATCATTTTTAAAAAAAACGTTATATAATTTTTTTTTCTTTAAAAATCAATAAATGATCATACTTCTGGAACAACTTTCATGTTGATTATTCTTTTGAGTAGGAAAATAAAAGAGTGAAAATGTGTAAAGTTTTGAAATTTTTGGAAAACAGGGAATGGGCTTTTTTATATCTACTATCAAACTATAAAAATAAAACGTCTATTACACAAATAAATGTTTATTTTAATTTTAGGTCGATTATCTGTAATCAACGATCCTATTTTATATCAATTCTCTTTCCGTAATATATACAAAAAGGCTGGCTGATATCGCTTGATAGGCTCAATATTCAAAACTTTACAAAAGTGGGGAAGTAAATAATAAATTTTCAATTTCTCAATAAAGTAATGTTAAGCATTAAGTTCCTTACATTTTGTAATAAGTACTTTATTTCCTGATCTTCGATCTACCTTACTCTAGTAAATTAAAATATTATATACATGTTTTTTTTATTTGTTTTTTTTTTTGTACACAAATTATTCCAAATAGGATCTTTCAAAATTTGATGTAAAAGATCAAATTTTAATTTGTGTATGATCAATAAAATCATCAATCCATCGTAAGAAAATATAAATGTTTTAAAATTCACAAATAATTGCGGGATAAATAAATATAAATAAATAATTTATTGCCATGTCATACGTCACGCTGTGATATCCTATTTGTCACCATTATATGTCACACACGATCATCCAAAAGCGCCACGACAAATACTATATATTGATATTAAAAATTAAAATTAACCATTAATTAACGTTTAAATTTATCATATCACTGGAAATTTTAAAAATAAATAAATAAAAAAATACCACGTTTGATGATTGAGACAACATCTACACTAAAACTATATTTTATATAGCACGCTGGAAATTAATGTTCAAGTTTCCCCTGTAATCTAGCAGCTTTAAATCTAGAAATCCTTTTAGGTCTCTCCTCAATTATAGGTTGTGAACCCGATTTACTATCATCAGCTGAATCCTCAACATCTTCAACATTCTAAAGCAACATTATCTTAAGTTAAATCATTTCAAAAATAAAATATAATATCGCATTCTACATACGTCTTCATTATGTTTTGGTTCAAACGCGGAAGTGAATCCACCTTCTTGTGCTATAAACTGCATTCGTTTTTGATGATATGCTGAAGCGATCTGAAAAGACCCAATCCCGATATTAGCATGTATGAGCGTAAGAAACTCGCATATCAATTCATAAAATAACCTCTTTCATCCAAAGCTCATTTTCCAAAGCTTCCACATCAACATCTTCAGGACGAACATCTTTTTCCACAACAACCGCTTTGACTGGACTTTTTGTTGTAATATTCTCTTTTACACTTCCAACCGGAACAGAAGAAAATGAAGGCTTACGCGATTCTTTTGGAATATGCAATAAATTGGATCGCCTTCCTGACTTAAACAATGACGTAGATCTTTTTTGTTCAGGCTTATTTGAAGACGAAATAAGATCTATATCTTCCGGAGTAATTTTTTCCACATATACATCATCTTCTAGTTTCTCACTTTCTTTTGCCTTCGTTAACATATGCGCGTAAATATCAGCTGGCGATCGAATTGTATGTACTTTTGTAGGTTCCGTAGCTTGATCAGAAAATGAAACCTTTTTACTGCGTTTATATTTCGATTCCTCTTCAATTTCCTCCTCTTCTTCTTCCTCTTCCTCCTCCTCATCATCTTCATATCCTTCTTCATCTTCTCCAACTTCATCTTCCTCCCAATATTCATCCTCATCTTCTGCTTCTTCATTATAATCCTCATCTGATTCCAGCGATTTTTCTCGACTTTGTTCCTCCTCCTCCTCTTTAATAAACTCGTCTAAATATCCCAATCTATCTTCACTTTCTTTAAAAGCAAATAAAACGTTATCGGTAAAATATTTTTAACAAGCAAATGGATCGATGGAACGATATAAATTAATTTACCTTTAACGTCTGCTTTTTCCCTTTGAACTTGAGTTTGAGCAAACGACTCTTTCTTTTCTTCATCAGATTGATATTCTTCAACAATATCAACAAATGGCAATCCTTCTTCATTAAGCTATACTTGATACCAAAAAATTATTCAATAGTTTCATTCTCTTTAAAACATAAAATAATTTTTATGCTTACCTTTGCTTCTTGTGAATTTGCAAGTCCCAATATGTTGGAGGTCAGCCCAATTTTTGTTCGTTGATTTTCAAGTTGTATTTCCAAATCATCAATAGTTTTTCTCACCACTAATTATTGTATATTATTATAATGTCGGTAATTGACAATCTAGAAAAAAAAATTCCCAGATAAAGAAGTTCATCTTTTGGTTGCTATTAATCACTCACTCTCCATCCTTCTATCGACGATTCCAACGGCCTGACTTGTCGACCTTTCTACAAACCAATTGTCACCAAGCATTGCCAAAATTTCGTTAGTATGAATTAATTTCCCTGGCATGAACGCTTTATTACCAATTGGGACCTAAGTGATAAATTTTAAATAAATTGATTGTCAAGGGAAAAAAGAAAAAAATAAAATAAAAAGATTTTAAAAATTTAAAAATTTAAAATATTCTTACCATAATTTTATGCTCGGTTTCATGATTTATTTCTTCTAAAGTGTCTTTTAAAGATTTATAATCTCGTTCAAAACTTTTCCAAGTTTCCAAACTTTCTGAAGTGTTTAATACAACTCGTTCTAATTTTGAACGATATAATTGTGTTTGTTCTGAAGTTGAACTTTGGTTAGAAGAATCACCTTTTGATTTAGATGACATTGTGACGGAAAAAAAGATTCGGTAATATAAATAATTAAAAGACGAGAAAGAAAAAAAAAGTTCGATTCAAATTTAATATTTAGGTTTGTGTTACGGGAGATGCAGTGATTTTATAATGTTTAGGTTTATACAGTGATGATCAATTATAACGTTAGATGTTTAAATAAATTTATTACTATAATGGATAATAAAATACATGATTCAAAAAATACATAATAAAATTTTTTTTTTTTTTTTTTTTTTTTTTTTTTTTATGTAAAAAATCGAAAAAAAGAAAATTCATAAAAAAAAAAAAATTACCAATTATTTTATTCTGGTAATTTTTGACAGAAATTAAATAATATTTAGAACGTAGTTTTTCTCTATTTTTGAATAAATTCTAAATCCGGAACATCAGATAGGTGGTGCTTGCGAGAAACTGAAGGAATCAATGGCACTGAAGAAGGATCAAAGCTTGGTTTCCCAAAAAGGATTATGTAAAATTAGAAGCTTGACTTCTCAAGTGGGTATCGAGGAATCGGACGAATTACCGGAGGAGCTTGATATCTCGAAGGGGAATTATTTGCATCCCGGAAGAAGGTATTGAGGAATCGGGAGAGTTACCAAAGGAGCCTGATTACTCAAAGGACTAGCCAAAGGAGAGGGAGATATCTTAGTTATCTCGTCATAAATTTGAAGCTTTGGTCCTTTGCCTTGTTGATTTCTTTTAACTCGTCTTCTTCTTTCTCTAGAATTCCAAAAATTCTTGAGATTGTTCTCGGAGTACAATTTACCAAACCTATTTTTCATCACCGGAATTAATTTTGCAAATCTAATTGTACCATTCGGTCCTTCTTTATTCTTTTCAATCCATTGAACAATGAAATCTTTTTCATAGTATTTTAAAGGTTCTTTCCAAACTAATAATAACAATAATGAAGAAAATTTAAAACAAAATCCAGGTAGGTCTGGAAAATAAAAGTTACTTACGATTTGGGTCCAAATGGTTTTTCTAACTAAATTATAAATAAAAAATTTTATTAGGAAAAAAAATATCAATCAAATCAAATCAAATTTGATATTACCGTTGGCGAATTTGCTTCGAATTTCTTTGGAAAGAAGACTTAGCAAGCTCATTTTCAATAATGGCATAAGGGTTTTGTTGTTTAAGTTGATTATGTTGTTTCAACTTTTCCATGAGTTCCTTAACGACATTATCTTCCTAAAAAATATATAATTGTTAGCCAGCCGTTTAAATTTGTTTATTTTCGGTCTAGCTGTTGACATACCTCCTTTGTAAAGCGTATCTTTTTCATTACAACAATGATTTTTTATTTCTCAAAAAGACAAGTATGAGTTAACCGAGTAAATGGTTTAACGAATAAAGCAATAAACGAGGTATGTATGAATGAAATATAATCGAGTTAATAAAATTGTTATGGAGTAAAATATAGGAAGATGAATCTGTAACTTGAAAAAAGCAAGCTTTTTAGAAGTATTATTTTTTTTTTTGGAAGAAAACAAAATACGTGATTTTATGCATTATTGATTTTTTTTATATGGAGCAAAGTAAAAATATTTTATATAGGCAAAAAAGGCGGGTTAACAACAATGATGTACAGAAATGTTTACTTTAGATCTAACTAAAATGCAAAAAATTACACAGATTTATGCTTTTAAAGGTTAGCGAAATACCGGAGCAATATTTTTTTGTGTTCCAATCCAATCTTTTTTTTATTTTTTTTTAACGTGCGGTAGCTTTGCACAAACTATCCAATCTTTTTTTTTATTTCACTCAACGCCACAATAAATAAATGTCTTTATTTTATTGGTTTTTATTTATCGGTAGTAATTATTGTCGCAATTCAAAACATTACATCGTGAATTTCTCTATAAACATTTAAGCTCTTTTGTTCTGATCTTCGATCTACATTACACTACCTAGTAATGAAATAAATATTGTTTGTTTTTATGAACTTTGAATATTTCCTATCCGGAAATATTTTTAAATATAAGTTTGAAATTTTTTTTTTATGTAATCGTAAACCAATAACGAGAGATTTATTTTGTGAATTCTGAGATATAGCAATATCCTATTTGTCACAGTTTAAGTCACACACGATTAAATCGTCACGGAGGGATATCCTGCTAGAATTCAATGATCAAAAAAATCATTTAAATTCTTTTAAGCCTCTCCTCAATAATTAGTTGTGAAGCTGATTTAATCGTTATAAAGCAAAATTTTCATAAATTAAATCATTTCGAAGATAACATAGAATGGTTATATAACATCGCATCCTACATTTGTCTTCATTCTTTTGGTTCAAACGTGAAAGTGAATTCACCTTCTTGCTATGAACTGCATTTGTCTTTGTAAAGCGATCTGAAGTACCCAATCCTAATATAGCATTAATGGGCATAAGAAATACGCATATCATATCATAAAATAATCTTTTTCATCCAAAGATCATCTTCCAAAGCCTTCGCATTATTTTCAAGGACGAACAACTTTTTTCAGAAAAGTTGTTTTAACTGTAATATCCTCTTTTACACCTCCCTCCTCTTTTCTCATATCCTTCTTTATTTACTCTAACTTCATATTTTTCCCAATATTCATCCTCCTCTTCCGCTTTTTCATTATAATCCTTGTCTTAATTCCTTCTCATCCTGTACTTCCAAATTTTCAATAGTTTTTCTCACCACTAATTATTATACATTATAATTTCTGTAATTTACCTAAAATAAATATTTGATATAAGAAACTTTTCTTTTTGGTCGTTATTAATCATTCATTCTAAATCAATTGTCACCCAACTTTGCCAAAATTTCGTTAATTTCCCTAGCTTGAAAGTTAAATTACCAAATTGGACTAAAAATAAATTGATTGTCAAGGGGTAAAAAAAATATAAGGTTTAAAAATTAAATATTTAAAATATTCTTACCATAACTTTATGCTTCGTTTCAATGATTTTTAAAATCCCAAGTTTATGTTTACGTGGTAGCACAATTTATCTATCTTTTAGCAGTCTACCTCCGAAAATAAGCTACCCTTATAGTAGATATCTAATTCATCACATGAATTTTATTATGGATAAATCTTCACGGGAGCTTATTTTCGAAGGTATATGTGTTTATTATGTCCATTATAATACTAATTTGGGGTTTTTTTTTTCGGTTGGGCGCTTTTGCAGTAGAAAAGAAGAAATTTCACTTTATATGCTAAAATATGATTTTTTTTTTTTTCTTTATTTTTTTTAGTAAAATAAGTCCAGATTTAATCATAAATTCTATGAATGGTAGTAGTATTGTTTTATTATGAGAAGGTGCACGTTAGATAATAACAAAATTTAATTCTTTTATGTTTGATTAAATTTATTTATTTTAATTCATCTTTTTATAAAAAAAAAATAGAAAAAAAAAATAAACGAAAAAAAATACATGATTAATTACAAGTGTTATTATTATTTAACAATAATGTTAATTAAATAAACGATTAATGATTTTTTTTTTTTTTGTTATGTAAAAATGAGATTACGAAAAAGCAAAATGTATAAATGTATAAAAAAAAATAAGTGGTTCAACCACCTATTAAATATGGTAATTTTGACAGAAGTTAAACATATGGGACCTTTGCAATAGAAAAGGGGGAACAGCTGGAAAAATAAAAAATGAGTTAATGCTAAATCTGAACATATTTTTTGACCTAAAATCATTTTTTAGAAAATTGAGATTTTTTCGGCAGTTTCCCCCCTTTATATTGCAAAGGTCCCATATGTAAATAATTTTAGCTTTTTTTAATAAATTAGTGGTATTCTAAATTCGGAACATTAAATAGGTTCTGAGGTATGAAGGAAAGTATCGAAGAACCGAAAGTGTAAGAAACATCTAATTTCTTGAAGGGTGGTGTTGGAGAGAATCTGGAAGGATCGAACAAAGCTCAGAAGAAGAATCAGAAGTTTGCATCTCAGTGTGAATTAGAGGAATATCTTAAATTTTTAATTTTGAAACTTGATTTCTCAAGTACACATCAATTGGAGGATGAACTGAAGGAGCTTTTGTATTAATTGGAAGAGGTAATTGACGAATATTAATTGGATGAGGTAATTGACGAAATACTAAAGGAGCTTGAATTTTCAATGAAGAATCATGTGTATAAATTGGAGAAAGAATTGAGCGCTCTGAAGAAGGATCGGAG